GTTTGTAGATAAGTCACTACCCAGAGATTTCACCCTCATTTTGTGATGACTTTATGATCTAAGTTCTGGTTTCCTATAGGCGCAAGCCCCTATAGTTAATTACCCCTCCTGATAATAAGAGAGAACTTTCAATTAAGACTAGTCGTTAATCAGATACATAGTATCTGGCATATAGTAATAGCTTGGGCTTAAGAGTATTTGAAAGTTGGATATTTAAAATTAGAAATTTCACCACATTACACTTAGAGCGGATGTTGGGGGAATAGATGATGGACCCAATCAAGATCCCATGGTTCCGTCGTCCCGGTCCATCGTGGTCCCTGGTCTACTTAGTCAGAGGAGGTAGTCGACCCAACCTGACAGAAGGATCCTTGTCGGCAACCATGGGTTGGTTCGTCCAAGGGTACCTTGTAGACCTGGGGAATATTTGTCTAAGGGAACGAACTTGAATACATCTTAGTTAACAGAGGGCTTTGTGCCCTATCAATTGTATCATACTAATTCATATCTCAAGAATTTGATGTCACTAAGGAACGTATTGGCTCTGGCAATAACCGTTATCTTGTGGTGCCATTTTGCAGCAAAACCTCTCGATTCAGAGGACCACGGGTCATAATCGTTTATCCTATGGTGCCATTTGGCGGCAAAATCACCAGTCAGAGGACACGTTCCACGTCCTTACTAACAGAAGATTATTTTGAGAATTAATCCTAGTGATATTTTCGACTAGGTATTAGCTCCATGTGAACTGAACTAAATTTTAATTTATCCACCCCTACAAACTGTTGCGGAGGGTGGATGAATTTTGTTTTAAGCATATTGATGGTTGAATATCAAATTTTAAATATTTTTGGGATTTTTTGGATTTTGGACTTTTCGATATTTGAGATATTTGGGAGACACTTAAAAGTGTTTGTGAATCCTTTCAGTTGAGATAAACATTCAATACGGCCATCATCGGGGTATTTTGATATCACTTGAAAATATTTGAATTTTGTAAAAGTTTGAGAGTATTTTAAAATATTTGAAATTAGCCCCTCTAGTTGAGATCTACGTTCAACATGGACATCATCGGAGTGTTTGAGGTTATTTGAAAATATTTACATTTTGTTGGCACATAGGGGCATTTGAAAATATTTGGAATTAACCCCTTCAGTTGATATCTACATTCAACATGGCCATCATTGGGGTATTTTGGAGTCATTTCCATATGTGAATTGAACCCTGTCAACTCTATCGAGTTGTCAACAAAGCATTGAGTTTCGTAGGCTTTATATTTTATTAATGAATTTTTTTGTTGGAGGCCTTAAAGGCTTTATATGAAAGTATAAAGTAGAAATTTCAGTCGACACTTTGACTGTATATTTGTTTGATAATTCGAGCCGTGTCAACCATTGTTTAAAATTACGCAATATGAGGCTCGCCTTGAGGACAACCTCAGTGCAATTTTAATGAAAAACGCCTCGAGGCTTACGCCTCTAGCTTTTGTTTGAGTCTTGCACCTTAGCTTGGCTAAGGCCCGCCTTGAGGCACGCATCGCCTCGCTAGCGTGAGGCTTACGTCTCACCCTATTTGTATTTTTTTTTTTTGTTAAAACTAACATAAATCACACATTCATGAACATTCGAGTACAACAACTTCCTCTCGATTGCCTCTACCTCCAGCCCGCGGCCTTTGATGCAGCCAACACTGTCATAACCATCATTGACTATCACTTGAAAGCTGCACACCACCACGCTTAAAACTTTGGAACATTAATCCCATGCTTATGTTAATGAAAATATTTCTAAAAGATGAATATGATTGAAATAAATTGAAAAGAAGCATATTGGAAGGCATTCAACTCTACCAAATGAGGCAAGGGATAGATCAATTTGTTATGGCGTCAACTTAGATAAAGATCACCTCAGTGATGATAGTGCAGATGATTCCTAATTTGTTGCCAACTATTTCAGCTTTCATTAGGATTTAAATGTAAATGAGTAGAGAATTGAGAAAAAAGAAATTTGGAGTTGAACTTGATATTATATGATACTTTTATGTAATTTATATATTTAATATTATTTTCTCTTATAATATTTGGATTTTAATTTTATTTCACGCAATTTATCACTTGTCACTTTATATCTTATGTATTTTTTTGTTTCATATGTATTTCAATTTATTAATTCATAATTTAATAGGAAGTTAATATATCATCATTTAATATATTATTTAGGTATTACATAAAAATCACTTTTGACATTTAATATCACTTTATGCAATTTTTTGATTTGGAGGTTTACGCCTTGAGGCTTACGCCTCGCCTCATGTACAAAAAATGCCTCAATACCCAATTGCGCAATTTTAAACATTGGTGTCAACTCTTATCTATCCATATAAAAGAATCAGGCTCGAATTACGTTCATTTATTAACCCGTGAAGCATCCCTATATGTCACGTGTGTACCCATAACACTCTCGCCGGAGCCTATGCTAGTTTTATGATTGCACTTGCCCCTTTTGTGTGCATATGTGTATATAAATTACGGTGCATATCCGGAGGTACTTTGAAATATTTGTAAACGCCTTCTTTCCTCTTGCATAGATGTTGCGGATGCGGTGGCATGACATTACACTACGATCATTTGCCTGTTAGATGCAGGTAGACTGTCATGCACTGATTTAGTGCATTTACGGGATTTAGTTGAAGAAGCACGTAGGAAGGGAGAAAGTTACCTTCTCAGTGGGAGAGCTTCCTTCGTTGCTTCCGATCAAACGTTGTAACTCCCGATTTGGCAGGAAGGGAATGCAGCCGAAGGAGTTAAAGGTATCTCTCTCTCTCTCTCTCTCTCTATGAGGATTGGGATGACCGAGAGGTCGGGCAAGGGATTTGATCATAGGAGTTACTTGATGTAGAAGTGGTCGGCTATGGGAGAGGGTAGAAGCGGCTACATCAGAGACCTTGGCCAATGGGTTGAGGTTCTCTGGATCGGCACAGGGACAAGGGTTTCGGAGCAGGGAGGAGCGGGTTTAGTGGAAGCTTGCGAATAGAGGAAGGGGGTTGAGACTGGCTTTGATTTGAGAGGGAAACTAAGTGGGTGCTATGGCTTGGGGCGTTGTGATGCTTGCGAGATATTTGTGACAGAGGCTTTGACTGGAGAGATCGGAGCTGTGGGAGAAGTGAAGAAGAGAGCAAAGCCTCATTTCTCCTTCCTTTTAACGATGCAAATCAGGCGATGAGGCACGCGTGAAACGACTGCAATAGCATCAAATTGCAGAGTATGGGCGACTATAGCGACGGTGATTTGCGCTGGATTTGGTACATGGATTTGGCTGAGGTATGGGTAAGGCTTGCTGGTACACATTTTTTTATTTTTATTATTTTTTTTTAAACGCAGAGGTCAACACTCAATCATCCTATATCCATAATACCATTCACCAAGCAGGCTTATCCCACTGCAATCCCATTTCCAACCCATCACTGACCAAACTGCCCTCCACTATACCCATCGACATCCTCTCATCCGATCCATCCGCCTACAGGCAACGTACGGGGTCCCTGCAATACACCATTATCACCCGTCCATATATCGCCTTCATCGTGAACACGCTATGCCAACATATGCATTATCCTTTGTCCCAACATTTTCACCTACTCAAATGTTGTCTCTGCTACCTTCAGGGCACTGCCAATTATGGACTTCCCATCTCAAAGTCCGATCTCACCCTCATGACATTCGCAGATGCAGATTGAACTGCCGACCCTCTTACTTACCGCTCCACATCCGGATATTGTGCATTCTTAGGTAGCACACTGATCTCATGGACATTTAAGAAATAGCAAACCGTGGCTCGATCCTTGGCGGAAGCGGAATATCGCTCTGTTGCAATTGCGGCAGCCGAAGTCATATGGCTCAGGAGTCTTCTCTCGAACTTCCACATTACTCAAACTAAATCGACAACACTCAAGTGTGAGAACACGTCGGCAATTGCTTTCGTCAACAACCCGGTGTTCTACGCTCTCACGAAATATATTGAGGTCGACTTCCACTTCATCAGGGACCATATTCAATCCAACAAACTCATGGTGGCAGCCATCATTACAACAGATAAGATCGCAGACATCCTTATTAAACCGCTCTCCACCTCAAGATTTCAAGCTCTTAGATCCAAACTAACAGTTACATATTTTCCACTGTCAGTTTATGGGGGCGTAAAAACCACCTGACACTAGACCACAGCTGGCGTAAGGAACGTCTCCTCTCAACAATACTTACATGCCTTGACGTTCGTTCACATGCTCCCATGCCTGGAAGTTAGCTCATAACAAACTCTGCCAATCACAGTTTCACCCTTGTATAGCACCTGCACCAGCCTTGTATAGCACCTGCACCTATAAATATACATAGCTATTACAGTAAACTGTGTACAGTCATTTACATAGAAATGACAGCTTTTCTTCTTCCTCTTTGAGACATCTTAGCTGTAGTTTTCTATTGCTGTACTGTTACTCTCTTTCACTTCAGTTAAGGATTATGTTTTAACCTAAATCTTACAGAACGGATCTCTGTTCATTATGACAAAAAACATTAATAGGTAATACAAACAATGATAAAATGATGATGAATTAAGGGTGCATACCTCTCATTAGAGTTATTGCAGTCATTGGTTGCGGCAGTTCTAATTTGGCAATCATTGTTAGATATATCTAACAAGTATTTTAATGCAGTATTAATGAACTCTCATGTTAAACGATGCATGTTTTTTTTTCCTCTATATATCATCATTCTTTATTATATTAAGGGTTCATTTGGGATGGCTTTTTTACTGTTTCTTAAATCAACATTTTAGTATAAAAATAAAAAATTTTATACTAAAAAATTGCTTTAAGAAGCAGTAAGAAAGCCATTCCAAACGAACCCTAAGATATCTGATAACTTGATCACATGCATGGTTGCCATCATATTTTTATCTAAAAGAATCGAAGTGGCATCTTAAATTACGATGATTGTTGATCAGGCCATTCCTATAAGCTGGGAGAGAAGGTAGACAGCTCCATTTTTGAAGATGATCCGGGATCACTGTCAGAATCCAGCGCTAGCTCTACATCCGAGTCTGCTAAAGAAAATCAGCCAAAAACTGTTTACCGTTGTAAGAAATGCAGAAGAATCGTTGCATTACATGAAAATGTCGTAAGTCACACACCAGGAGAAGGTGAGACCTGTTTTGAATGGCATAAGAGGAAAAGTGGAAACCCATTTAAGAGGTTTGATGAGGTTGAGTGCTCCTCTATTTTTATTGAACCTTTGAAGTGGATGACATCAGGTATATTATTTTTAATTCTTTTAGTATACCTTGAAGTCATTTTGAAATTTTAATGACAAATTTGCATAGAAAAGATCCATCCAAGAATGCTCCATTAGATCAGATATGATAGCTAAATTTCTTAGTATATGGCAGGTCAGAAGCCATGCCAATTTTTATATTAATATCATTACAAGAACATCAACATTTTACATAGGGTTGGCTTTTAATATCATTAGATAGAATTAAATTAAAGTCCTATGATAACTTTTATTTGTGGTTCTGCAGTTGAAGAGGGTGCTCTGGAAGGAAAATTATTATGCATACACTGTGAAGCACGGTTGGGTTATTTCAATTGGTCAGGTATTCAGTGCAGCTGCGGTAGTTGGATTACTCCTGCATTTCAGCTGCACAAAAGCAGAGTTGATATTTGCAGTTTGTAGTGATTTATTGTACAACAGGAACAAATGAAGCAAATGCCAGCTTTCTCGATGGCAATAATCTGCAGATTTTATGGAATCATTAGGAACTTTTAAAACTACGGACGTATAAGATATGCAATGCTTTGAACTTGAATTTGCAATCATTTGAACTTCTTGTTCTATGTCAGATCTATCATCCAGTTTTTTCTTGGAGTTATGCTCCTAAAAGCAGTGTATTCAGCAGTGATTTCCGTCAATATGAGATTGGGAAAGGATTCAGGTACGCAACTTTATTTTTGCATTTATAGCTGTACTCCTGTCACCGGTAGAAATTGATATCTGTGCTTAGTAAGAGTAAGAATGTTGTTTTTACATTTAAGAAATGTATTGTTTTTTCTATAATGCACTGAATATTTGTGGAATGTATTATACTAAGCAGTAAGTGGTCTAAATCTCTTTCTTTATATAGTCTGAATTCTGAAACTTCGTTTGGGACGGATTTTTTACTGCTTCTTGAAATAACTTTCTAGTAAAAAAAATATTTTTTGTAATAGACCTAGTGAGGGGATTGTGACTTTAGGCAATCAAGTCATTAATAAGAGTACACATTTTAGATATCTTGGATCTATTGTTCAGAGTGATGGTGAAATAGATGGGGATATTATCAGCAGAATTCAAGTTGGATGGTTGAAATGGAGGATTGCATCAAGCTTGTTGTGTGATAGAAAAGTACACCTCAAACTCAAGGAAAAATTCTATAAGATGGTGGTGAGGCCTGCACTGCTTTATGGTGCCGAATGTTGGCCATTAAAAGAGAAGCATAATACTAAGTTAAGTGTGGCAGATATGAGGATGCTCAGGTGGATGAGTGGCTTTACCCTTAGAGATAGGATATGAAATGAGCATATACGTGAAAAGGTTGGAGTAGCTCTAGTAGAAGATAAGATTAGAGAGAGTCGTCTTAGATAGTTTGGTCACATAAAAAGGAGGCATTCCAATGACCCGGTTAGGAGAGTGTAGATGTATTAGGTTTGACTTATGCTAAGAAAGGTAGAGACAGACCTAAAAAGACTTGGTTATAAAATATTAGGAATGACCTTTCTTTATTAGATTTAAACAAGAATTTGACTTTTAATAGGACACAATGGAGAAAAAGGATTCATGTAGCCGACCCCACGTATTGGGATAAAGACTTGATGTTGTTGTAAAGCTGCTTCAAGAAGCAGTAAGAAAGCCGTCTCAAATAAAGCCTGAATCATTTAAAAATATATGATCAGGTGAGCATGATCATCTTTCTTTGTATTGATGAAAATGTGTCGGGAGGCATGGCGATGAACTCAATGGTATTTGTTGGCTGAAAATAATTAAATTTTTTATTTTAATGCAGACCTTAATGATTTGATCTTTTCATAACAGCTGATATTGCTAAAACTCTATTTATTTTGGTTGTATCTGTTATTTTAGTTGTAATAGTGGTCAACTAAAATAGAAACTTCTTGCATGTTCTAGGCAACTTCTCCTTATTACATTTAATTATTTAAATGACGGAAAACGTTGATGAATGATGGAAAAGAGCCCCTTTGACATCCTCTCTCTCTCTCTCTCTCTCTCTCTCATGTTCAATTGTTCTGCTATAATTTGATCGGTGCCATAGAAGCAGATCGGTTTGGTGGTCCAATAATAGAGAAGCATGACAACATTGGCTTTGAGTATCACAAAGATAAATTCTTCTGTTGTTGTAGTAGGATAAATGTTTGATATTGAATATGCATATTGATACACAATTTTGAATTTATATATATTATTGAGCAGAGTGCTATTGAACATGATCTTTTTTGAAAGACCTAGCTAGCCTGGAGCAAGATAATGCAGAAAATATGGTAATAACAATTTAATTAAATGGTTTTTAATGGATGCATTAATATGGGATGAAAAAGATGAAGAAAAATTAAATTTATATTTATTAAATTGCATAAAATGTTTTCATGCCTCTTCTGAACTTGCAACCCCCATCCTTAATTTGACATTGTTTAGGTCATTGGATTGACCTTGTCCACTTATGGCTGTCATTGAGGAGAGATTATTATGTGTGGAGACCGGACACAGAGACTCGTTCGGTTTTTATCTCTATGAACAGTAAAAGTGCAATCAAAGCATAGTTATTGTTCATCACTGGGCTTTTACTGTTCACAGAGATAAAATCGAATGATTTTCTATGTCCGGTCTATGCCCGTAATATCTCTTGTCATTGATTGAGATTGTTGGTGTAGTTTGGTTTGAATTTTCTTTTTTTGCAGCATTTCTTAGGCTTTATTAGTGGGTCCTTTTGTGTTGCTAAACATTTTTTTTTATGGTCCATTCATTAATTCATTTGTATTTTTTGTTGTAATGGTTAAAATTTATTATTATTTGTCATTTTATTTTTTGAGTGACATTGCTTGCCTCTATTGTAGATGAGGATGGTTCTAATGTAAAGGTGTATCATAATGCTTACATGTTGAAGACAATTTTTTTATTATTTTATTTTTCAAATTGCAATCATAATTTTTATTTGGTCATTATTTTTTTTTTACTTAAAAAAAAAAATTGTATTAGAAAGTTATTTTCTACTAAAATTATAATAAATTATTTTCTTTATAGCAAATTTATAAAGCCTATTGGGAAGAAAAGTATGGAAGGGTTAATTAGGTTAAAATTTAAGGTGATTTGTTACATAATTTTTTTTTTAAAAATAATTTCATGAAATTTGAGTGCTTTGAATATGAAAATAAGAGAATTGGGGGACATTATGATAAGAGGAAAAAATAATTATTATTCTTTGTTTATAACTAATCATCTGAAAAGGAGAAAAATCTAAAGCTACTGAGGAAGGTTTAAAGGTATTTTTTCAAGAAGATTGCTAAAAGAAATAAAATATTAAGATTTTATTTGAGCCAATTTAATGGGAGATAAGCTAATTAGTTTCATTAGGGGCTATTTGGTTGATTGAAAAAAAAAATGTAATATTAAAAAAGTGTAGTGTAAAAGGAATATGTTGAAGTTTTTTTGGATGAATGTAAAATAAATGTCATTGAATGATGTTTTTTGTTTGGTTAGAAGTAATGAATATAGAGTGAAGTATTAAATGGTGACAATCGGAGGCGGCATGTGTTAGTGGCCTGCGGTGGCCACCAACGACGATCGGTGGTGGCTGGTGACGTTCGGTTGTGGTTGCGGGCGAAGGAGGTGGCCAATGACAGTATGGTCGATAGTTGGTAGCCAACGGAGGCGGTCGGCATGCAACGAGCAGTGGTCAAGCAAGCTTTTGATGTAAATGATTACTCAAAATTAAAGGAGTTTGATTTACAATCAAAATGAACTATTTCACTTTACATTATATATACTATACTTTGAATTATTTTGTATTATAATCAAACACCAACATTTTAAATTATAGCATAAACATATTTAATAAGTTGTGAAGGAGATGTGTTTGATGGGAAGGGGTCGAAAGCGTTGTGGTGGAAAATGATGAAATTCTATTACGGGTTATAAAAAAATTTTGAGAAAGTTATTAGTGTAGCAAGATTAGTGATGAGTAGAGAAAGATTTACAAGATAGAGAAAAGGAGATTGATAGAATTTTTAAGGTAAGAGATAAGAAATTTAGGGATTAAAAAATAAATAAAGATAACAAAATCTTTTTTAAAATTAAAAAAAAAACGTGATAATAATATTTTAAGAGATACTAAACGAGGTATTTATAATAGGAACATTTTTTTGAAGAAGATAATAGTATAATAAAATATATTATACATAAATCTAAAAAATGAAGTGAAATTAACTTAAAAGAAGATGCATATATGTAATGCTTTAGGTGTAATTAAGATGATCATTGACATTTTTATATTTGAACATATATGCATTTGTCTTGGAATGTTTTGTATGAATGCCAAAATTTACTTGGGTTATGAATTAGGTCATGAGAGTTTACTTGCATGATCTGAAAATATGGAATTTTCGCTTGAGGCATCACGACATTGAGCTCTTTGTATTTTTGGCTAATTAATTCAAGGAGGTGGTGTTGGGGGGCATGCTGTGGGCTCTTAGAGGGAGCGCTACAAGGCACACAAGTTTGAGTGTCACAAAGCTAGGTTTGAATTTTATATTTAAAATATATTTTTCTACTATTTGAATTCATTTCTTTCCCTTGAGCCTACTGGATGGAGAGATATAAAGGAGAGTTTTTAGACAGAGAGTCGATTTTGGTCCATTTTAAGCTAACAACCCAATTCTGAAAGTTGCATGATTTGAGGTAGGTTGTATTTTGCATGTTTCAGTTTTCAAAAATGAGAATTTTTTTTATTTAGTTTATAATTTCTTATTGTAAATACGGGGATAATTCTATAATCACTAAATTTTCAATGCGTAATTTTTTTGTATGTTATATATACACTAATTTTGAATATTTACTTATTTTTCTGAAAATTTTATATTAAGGGTTTTGGAAAGTGTATTATTTTAAGTATTTGAAAAATAGTTCTTAACCCTAAAAATAATGTTATAGTATAATTATATTTTCAAAATATTATTCTGAGTAATCTCTCATAATTTAATTATATTTTGAAATAGTAAATTTATGCACAATAGTATATTTTGTTACTACCATTAAAACATTCTGGTAAATTCTGAAATGAATTTATTTATATTTCATTTATTGCATTGTCATGTATTATATTATTATCTGATTGAAATGTGTGATTGTGAAGAGATTTGGTGTGTGTGGAGGAAGTTCTATTCTAGTGTTAAATGCACATTTTGGCGTTGTATGCACACTTTATTCTAGTGCTGTATGCACATTTTATTCCGATGCTATGAATTGTGAGTCATAAATGTTTGTTTCCTGATATGCTAGCATGAGAGTCATAAGGGTCTGAATTCTTTGAATTTTGTTTTAATGGGAGGTATAAATAGCTACGAAAAATCAATTACTTTTTTCTCTGATATATAAAGTACTTGCTTATTTATTTCCTTATATTGCTTTTTAAAGTTTTGATAACTACAAGCACTACTGTTTTGTATAGTGGTTATTACAAATTGCTTTTCAAACTCATTTGAATGTTAATTAAATGAATTATTTGGAAATTAAGCTTGGCAAGTACAAGCTGCTGAGTTGTATTGGCTTCTAAGTTTATCTGCATTTCTTTTTTAGGGTATAGGAAAGAAAAATAACTAGTTGAGTAATTGAGTTAGGATTTGATTTGTTCGAGTCTGTATAGGCTTTTTTTTTTTTACAGTTATGATTAATTATTTAAATTGCTCTGTTATATGTCCTAATATGTAGTTGTACACTGTAATGTAAGTGTTGTATATATATCAATATAAGAAATAAAAAAGGAACTTTGTGGATGCGTTCTTTATTATATACTACAAGTTATTAGCAGCTCTATAGTCTATTGTTTGTTGTAAGTTTAATTGAAAGAAGA